ACCTAATGTGGTACGGGGGAGAAAAGCTTACAGTGAAGCGAGTTAGTAAAGTTATATTTTTTGATTTTTTTGTATCAAATTAAAAGCATCTATACTCTCTATATTGTAATTTATTACTGATTTGGAAGTACACAGTTCAATTTGCTTTTATTTTTTTATTTTGCAGATATTTGGCTTTTTGCTATTGGCGATTTTTCATTTCATACTTTTACCACCTCTGATGAAAACAATGGACAACAAACCTCTTAAATGGTAACCATTATACATATACATATCTCTTTTTTGTCAAGTAAATTTGTTTTAGTAGATTCAGATAAGAATTCATGAGAGCGTGATTATATATTCTATTTATTATTTTAAGGTTGTACAAACAATATGAAATTCCATTCATGAAGGTCTGTCTGAACGTGGTAAGTGATGTATATATTTTTTCCTGATAAAAGGTACATTTTAGAAAATGTGAATCATTTGATTAAGATTAGCTGGAGTTTTGCTATTTAAGGGTAAAGGGTACTTCTCCAAATATTAAGAGTACATCAGGATTAAATTCGTCTAGAAATTTCTAATTAATACACCTTATCCTTTACTTAATATATGAAAAAAGTATTTCCTCTTTCGTTATTTTTTAACGACAATTGCTCTTTTATATTTTCCATCCATCAATGACTGGTGTTAGTTTTGCAGAGCAAACGTATCACATAATCTCTTTTTTTTGTTTGGTTGGTTGTTTGTTTGTTTTGTTTTATTATTATTATTATTGTTTTGTCTTTAAAGTATTTTTTCTTTCTTTGTTTGTTTAGAATCTTTGGCTTGACTTCATGTTTTTTAATTGATTCTATCACTTAAAATGGGATACCTCTCTACGTTTTGATAAAATGTTGTAGCTTATGCAACGTTAAAATATGTTGAATTCACAGAAATAAATAAAAACAAACATTGCATTACTATTTTCAGTTAAAGTTAAGATTACTGCTGAAATATAATATTATCCAATGTTGTTGTTTTGTAATTTTTTAAATTGGATTCATGTGTTTTTCTAAACTTCCGTCCTAAAGATATTTGAATAATAAGCTATTACAGAACTTTAATGCATACATAGGAAACACAGTTTAAAATTATATTTTCAGCTGAGTCTCTTTAGTCTGCAGACAGGGTATGTTATATTTTCAGCTGAGTCTCTTTAGTCTACAGACAGGGTATGCATATATGCTCCTTTTTGACTTTGGTAGAGAGATTTCTAACACGGACATGTTTCTCATTCTTTGGATGGCTAGTTTTTTCCTTGACGAAATGAAGCAGGTACTTCTGAACGAATTTGTCAATTATTGCATATCCAATTTATTATCATTGAGCTAATTATCGTTCTTTATTTCAGAAAAAAATGCACTTTTATATAAATGTTGCTCAAAAATTGTTCTGTTGCATATGTTTAGTACAACATTTATTTATTAAATAAATGAAGTAATTGTGTCCTAGTGTACTTGCTGTGTGCTTGGAAAAAGGCAAAATATGTTTGTAAACGAAATTTTGCATTGTAATTAAAATTTACCCGCGCAAGAAATATTCTGTATAATGAAGTTTTTCATGTATATATAATTGAAATTATGACATTTTGTCCATTATTTTCACCAACTTTTTTGGAAGAAAAGCAAGCTTAAGGATTGCTTAAATTGAAAACAAACATTGCCTTTAATATGCATTCTGGCTATACAAACTGAAGGATAATTTTCATATCTTTTCATTTAGTGTTATATTTTGTTTAAAACTCTTCATTCGTTTCCATAATTCTTTAACGATAAAGAACAAAGCTCACTTTATATTAAATTTTAGCATGGAATATGTATCGTATTAGTAACTTTTTTGTGGTGCTTTAATAATGCATGACACTTAGGTCTGATAAAACTTCGATTGATATCTAGCTTTAGTAATACTGGTATAATTGTATTAGACGGTTTATCTTTAAAGGTTATTGTTGCCGTAATTAGGCGAAGGAAGTCGCAGTATTTTACTGACCCTTGGAATTATCTTGACTGGTTGTCTGTGATTACCTATACAAGTGGTATGCTAATGCAACTGGGAGAGGGAAGTCTCTATATTAACGCATCAAAGGTGCTGCTTGTCGCAGGATTCATCATATTGAGCATTCGAATACTCCATATGTTTTCCATGTCAAAATTGCTCGGTCCAAAACTGGTTATGATCCGTAAAATGGTAAATATCGAATCGTAAGACAAAAATAATCTATAGCTTGTTGATTTAAAAAATAAAAGCATCAATTACGTCTTATGTATATTAATCAATCACATGAATGATGCCTTAATAAGTTGAAACAATAAATTTTAAAATCTTCATTCAAAATACTTGCTTATTTAGAAAATAAAAGCATTTATTACTTCTTATGTATATTAAACAATCAGATGAATGCTGCCTTAATAAGTTGATACGATAAATTTTAAAATTCTTCATTTAAAATTAAAACGTAGTGAAACGTAATATTTCATTATCATGTATTTAAAAAAAATTGTGTTAAACAGCTTTATTCAGAATGGAAATATTAATTAATACATATCCGTATTATTTATAACTATTGTTATTGTTGACTCAAAAAGTAATAAACGCAGCTAAATATGAGGGACAGTTTTAGTATTGGTTTCATCACATTAATAATTTTCAATTAATAAGAAAGACTTCAGTAAAACGTTTACTTTAACTTATTCCCATATTCAGGAGAAAACAAACTTATATTGGTAGGTTATCTTACTATCACAACACAATGCAAAGCTTTTCTCTTTTTTATTGAAAGAAATGCACTATCATAATGATTTATTTGTTTGTAGTTTTTAGACACATTTGCCTTGATGTCAATCATGATTGTGATCGGGATGTGCTACAACATATCATATCATGCGATACTGTATGCAGACAACTCTGAATTTACGTTTAAAGAATTGGAGAGAATTGCAAGGAATGGGTATTGGTTGTTATTCGAAATTGAGTTGGATACAGAAAAACGTAAGATATTTAAGCATTAGATACATGTATACTGTGAAATCATTAATTTTTTTTTTTTTTTGGGGGGGGGGGGGGTCGTTGCCGTCTAGGTATGCAGAGTCTCACAGATTAATATCCAACACGAAATGTAAAATTTCATATACAAAACTACTTAACACCTCTCCAACCACGAAATTAAATCCCTACAAACTAATATATTTTCCGCAAACTTCGAAAATTTGACCCCACGAAAATATTTGATTTCACAGTCTTACAGACAGTTGTAAATTTACCTAAGCATATAATTAACACACTAGTTGGATGATATCTTTTTAATGTATATGCTTGTTTATCACAAAATTTAAATGAATTTGTAGTTTGTATGGCAGAAATTGATCTCACGCGTTTGCTTGAACTTTCTTATATTTAACATAAAAAACAGATTAACTTACTAATACAGAGAAAAAAGAGAGGTGTATTCTAAAAAATTACAGTGAAAGAGCCTGACTGTACCTTCAACCAAACTATATATAGAGCGGAATTAAAAGAACGTTGTCCGTCATCTCTTGGGACTTTTCTGGCCCCCTATCTGAAAGCTGTTTATGTGCTTATCGCAGTCATATTGCTTTTATATTTGCTGATTGCCATGTACAGGTATGAACTTTACCTTATCTAAACCAAAATATATTAGATTTGAATTCATCAGGTGACTGCTACGAATAGCAAAATATTCCTTATCAAAAAGTTAGCAGAACAAAACACTAGGCTTAAATCATTTTCTTTAATAAAAGATATAACGGAAAAAAACCTCACATGCCTAAAATAATGCTGCTAATATCCTTTTTTTCAGTGAAATTATTTATCCTCCACTAAATATTTCTTCTGCAGTAGTCGCCCGCGTGGCGCAGTGTTGAGAGCGTCTGCTCTAGAGTCGCGGAGTAAGGAGTTGATCCTTACGTTGAGGCTCGAATCCCACTGTGGGACGTGGAGACCGGTCCTTCTGATGAGACCATATAAATCTAGGTCCCGTGTCGCAGTAGGTGCTGGCACGAAAAAGATCCCTCACTGCTCAATGGCCCTGAGTGCCGAGCATAGGTCAAAATTTGTAGCCCTCCATCGGCAAGTGGTGGCGTCTCCATATGAGTGAAAAATTCTCGAGAAGGACGTTAAACAACAATCTATCGATCAATCTTCTCCACTAATGCATGCAACCTTACCCCATGTTTGAAATGTTATGCATATGAACTGAGAATATTCTTTAATCCGTGTTTATTCAACGATTCTAGCAGCACTTTCCAAGTAGAATAGAACGCATGCTTTCGATCTCCCCGATTGTTGTCAGTAATAACAGAGGAAATGGCGACCGGGATTAGTAAACAATTGATTATGTTCAGTAAGATTTATTGATTGTATGTTGATTAACGTCCCATTCGAGAACTGTTTAGGTATTGAGACATCAACATATACCGATAAAGAGCTTAACATTTAGTCCTTTACTCAGTTTTCTAGACCGATAAGATTTAATTTTCATCAAGTAATATTCAACTAGGGTAAAGTTGAAAAATAGAGCTTCTTATCAAAACGATATATGCAAGATAAAACTATAATCCCTAGTGCTATAACAAGACCTCAGTATATTAAATAATTATGTATTACTTCCTATAAAAAGTTTTTTAATTAGATTTTTGTCATATGAGGATGTTGCATTGTTTTATTTGTTTTTATGAAGTGAAAAAAGTAAAATGACGTTGGTTTTGAATTTTTGAATATATATACCGTTACAGTGTATAAACAGAGAAATGCAATGCAATTTGAACGTAAGAATGAGCATTTCTCCCACCAAAGTAATCATCACAAATATTATAAAGATAAAAAAAATAAATGGACATATTATTTTCGTTTACAGTTGCACATTTTCTGAGGTACATGAGCAATCAAAATTTTATTGGTGACAACTTCAAACGGATTTCTTGGAGGAGTTCAGTGTTAAAAGTATTTTCCCTGTACACATGCAGCTTCTTGCAGTTCCATTCTTTATCACACAAGCCGTCGTGTGGGATATAAAGTCAAAGATTCGTTATAGGACGGTCAAATGCTGCAACTCTGTTGATGATGATGATGTCAATGATGAAGATGACAAAACTAATCTTCATCATAACCCATATACTCATGAAGATGATATCAAAAAGTTTAACAAAATTCCCATGTTTATACGAGGTCAGTATATGTACACTGTTGTTGCTAGTACAACGTCCAATGGATAATGTTGTTTTTTTTTCATCCATGTACATTTGTGATGTCTTTTTTCATCTATAAATTTTGAACACTGTTTTGCCTACTGCAGTAAAACACGCTTACAATGAATTGACTTCTAGCGAAGTGATTAGTTCATTCCTCTTGACTTTAAGATACATTGACGTATACCGCTTAGAAAAGCAAAATTTTCCGTCTGTGCACTTCGTCATAAACGTGTTTTACTGTATAAAGTGAATTCGGTAAAGATTGTATTGTTTTTTTTTCTATTCCTTGCAATACATGTACAATTGTGATATTTTTGTTTTTTTAATTATTTTGAACAGTTTTCATATATGACAGTAACTATGACTTAAAACTAAGAAAAACTAGAGAAATTGAGGGTCAGGCTGCTCTGATCACAAAGGGGTAAGCGGTTACATACTTTGCAATAAAAATATGAGGAATGTTTTATTATCAATTTAGACTATACAATTCATTTTACTTACACTCCATTATTGTTTTCAGTGAAATGGATATAAGTGAAGAAGATAAGATTGTGGTAAGGACCAATAACAGTTGAAACTCGGTATCTCGAATACCGATAACTCGAATACCATGGATATGTCAAAGAAGTCTTAAAGTCCCAATCACTTAATTATTAATGTATTTTACCCTTGTTATCTCTATTCCTCAGATATCTCAAAGATTTTCATCTACCCTTTCGCAGAAGAGATAATGAAGTTTGACTGTATATATAATATAGAGTTTTTGTTAACTTTTCACGTTTCTGAACCAGACAGAATTCGTTTGTATCAATACTTTCTTTAAATTTGTGTTTTAAAAGGGTTAAGTGCAATTTATACTTTATTTTTGTGTACTTTCACAGGAATTGAAAAGAAAGTTAATAAAGCACCAGAAGAAGTTACAAAAAAGTATAAACGAAAATATTAAAAAGGTAATTTTTAGTGCAATGAGTAACGTGTGACACATATATAATATATGTGTTTCTCATTACATTATGGGAAAAACAAGCATTATAACTGTGCGCTAGACAGCATTAATAGTATAAAATTTGGTATGATAAAGCTTTTTTTAAAATTAAGAAATGAATTTCTGATGAGGTTTCTGATATTCAATTAGCTTTACAAATGCCATAAATTAAATATATTCATAAAAAAAACTTTAGTGAATATATAACACGCAGATTTTTATGCTTTTCTTAATGAGCTCTTTTTATACATGAATCGTAAGCAATTTTTATATCATCAAATTTGGTCATACATGTAATATTATTTCTCTCATTGGGAGAGCGTCTGCTCTAGAGTCGCGAAGTAAGGAGTTGATCCTTACATCGCGGGTTCGAATCCCACTGTGGGACATGGAGACCGGTCCTTCGGATGAGACCGTATAAACCGATGGCCCGTGTCGCAGTAGGTGCTGGCACGAAAAAGACCCCTCACTGCTCAATGGCCGTAAGTGCCGAGTATAGGACAAAATTTGCAGCTCTTCAGCGGCAAGTGGTGGCGTCTCCATATGACAGAAAAATTCTCGAGAAGGACGTAAAACAACATACAAACAAACAAACTCTCATTTTGGGCGCAAATGCTAGCAAACGTGTATTTTAAGAGTTATTAATAGGAATGAGAGTTGATTTCCTGCTTTAATTTGACAGAGAATTTTGACTTTAAGATGAAGGCTACAAGCGAAAACAACCATATATATTCCCTTTCACTTTTTCCCTCCTACATGTACATGTTTATGTATGAGACACTGAACTTGTTTAAAAAAAGTATGCATTATCCGATTATTTTGGGATCCAAATTATCAAAAGACCTCATATGTAGTTCCATCTCTACAATTAAGTAAATTACTGGACTACCAGGTTTGGTTAAGTAGAAAACAAACTTTATACTATTCATTCGATTTTTAAAATAATGTCTTCATTTTGATTGCCTGGAAGATTAAACGTCAAGGTCAAATGTGTTTTGAGAAAGATTTCTCTTTATATAAATATTTCCCAAGTTAAAGAAAAACTTTAGCTCATTTTCACTGGTACTCCAAAATTTAATAAAAGTGAGAATCCCAATAACAATAGAAATGAATTGTAATAGGCTTCAAGTGTTGTGTTGATATTATAAAGCCCCTCCTTTTCATGATGTTTTCCTTTTCATAAAAAAAAAATAATAATTTTTGAAAAACCTGACTTTGTCGTTGTTTTTAGAAGAAATGGATACTAAACAAGAAAAAAAAAACAATTGCTTTGATTGAAGAGAATATATGCTATCATAAAAATATATTTGCATAAACTTTTTTTCTTTTATTTTGGTCACAGATGCAGCTGAATTTTAGATCAGAATGTAAGTTTAAAACGGAACTTTAATTTTTCAATATCATATTTACTTTTTATTCAATATTTAGTTTAAAAAGTAATTTTTCTTAACTTTTGAAAGTACACCTGACTATTCTAGCCCTTTGGATAACACCACAATCATTTGATTTTCAATATGTTCATGTATTAAAGCACATGGTTAGTTTTAAAGGAAGAACGAAAATATTTTTTTTTCTCCAGAGCCTTACTAACATCAAGATATTCTTAAGCGCAAAAAGTCCCCTAATGGCTCTCTAGAGCTTTATCTTAAGGTTACCCTTCAATATCACTTTACCATGAAGCCATTGGTGAGTTCAGATCTGAGCCAATCATTGTATTATTTCGGTCCCCTGCCCGGTTTAAAAATTTCACAATGTTTATCTGTTATTTATCATACAAATACATGAACACATACCAAGAAAGAGAGCCTGAAAAGTGAGAAGATCAATAGTGTATTCAATTTTTTTTAAAAGGGGGGATAACATTTAAAAAACATGAAATAAAATTAAAAAGCTTTTTTTTTAGAAATAAGATTATGTATTTGAAATTAAACTTTTAAAAATGAATCTCTGAAATTCAGTTTTAAAGAGAAAAAAACAATGTACCCACCAGAAGACATCCCTGATAAAACACGACGATTCTTGATTACCTTTGTTTCCATTCCTGGGAAATATATCAGTGGTGTCTTGAAGTTCTGAAATATCCTCTTTGAAATACATTTCTTGAATTTGTTTAACTTTACACAAGGCTGCAAGTTATTGCATGTCCGATCTTTTTAAAAAGCAGTAACCTTGGTTTGTTGTTTAATTTATGGATCATATTATAGCTGTTATTGGACTATAACGTATATGTATCATTTGATTCAATAAATATTATATTTATGTATGATTAAACCTTTCACTTGGTGAAAACGTCTTATTCATTTGCAGATTTACACAAAAAATAATCTTTATTCTCATTTTTTTTACATTCATATTAGCTAATCGAAGATCAAAATCTGAAGAAAGTTTTAGATCCTCGCCTCAAGGATCTCAAAGAGTGTCAGCAATAATATCCAGACATTCTCTGTCTGAATCTGCATCTGAAACGGATGATGAGGGAGGTATGTATTTTTTTTTCACATCATGAATGATGTGAGTTAAATAAATGGATATTTTTTTTAATTCTAAAACGATTTACCCAGTTTATACAGGATTTAAAATCGTACATACTGTTCTTTCTTTGTCCGTTACAATTATTTTTGAATTATAATATCGTCGGTTATTGGACAATTCTGTATAATTCTTATTTGATGAAAGTAATAATTTTATTGATTATATATTCTATTATAATATATTTCTGCAATATTATATAAGTAAAAACTTTAGTAAAAAGAAAGAGTGTGTGTGTAGTAAATAGATGTTAAGGTCAGACGACATGTTCCTTAACAATATATAATTTTTTCCAAGAAGTTTTCATTGAAGTATTGATACTTAAGCAAGATTCCTCACAAAAAATTTAGGTACCTTACCAGGCATTTGAGCAAGATACCGGAGGATGCTATTTCATATATAATCCTATTGGAAATCACTAACATTGCAAATATCACAATTTTTATGGTGTCTTACCTACTTAAACATTTAAAAAACACTTTAAAATCACAAGACAATGATTATTATGATTAATTTGTGGTATATTACGAAGAGATACAAAACAGGTATTCGAGCAACATGTCGTCAGACCTTAAATGACATTTCTATATGGCCTGTTATAATATTTATGTTTAGACACAAGATTCGGTGAAAAGAGTGTTTAATTCGTTTACATTTTGATACATAAATATTTTTATTATTCTCAATTATTCATTTATATTAGTTATTCAAAAATCAGAATCTGAAGAAAGTTTGAAATATACGCTTCTAAGACCTCTAAGAGAGTCAGTGATAATATCCCGACGACCTCACTCACAATTATTATCTGAGTCTGAAGATGAAGGCCGTAATTATTTTTACTGGAATCCGCTTAATTTGAATACTGGTATACTGCACTTTTATTAACACAATTTTTAAAAGAGATTTTCCTTAATTTTTTTTTTCATTTTTTAATAATCATTTTTTCTGTCTAATATAAACCTTATGGATCATATTAGCGTCAGTGATTTGCCTATCCTGTGTATTTCTGATTTCATTCCAGAAGAGAACGTGTAATTCTATAAATGATATATTACATTATAAACATAACATACAATAAATTACCCCTTATTTGGTCAACATTTTGAAATAAGGACCCGACACCTAGCCCACAAGGTGACCTGACCTGACCGAGGCCGCGTAGCGGCCGAGGTCAGGTCAGATTAGCGAGTGGGCAGGTCGAGGGTCCTCATTTCACCATGTTGAACTCATAAGGGGTAATCAATTGTTTTATTATGGCGATATCAGTTAAGACAATTTTTGTAGGCTTAATTGCTAAAATAATCAATTGTGTATTAGACCTACGAACTGTTATTATCAGTGTCTATCGGGTTCGAGATTCGCTAATGAAGTTGTTTACCTTTCCCTTCAAGTCTTGTAAGTCTTTGCACCGCCGAGTTATTAAAACACTCCGTGATTGTCAATAACATGCATTTTTATAAATTCACAATTACCATTCCCGAGTACAATGACAATCTGGTGCAGACTTATACTGTATAAAAGAGCCGAGCCTCTATTCGTTGAATTTGACATTGTAACGAAAGTTTCAATGAAAACGATAAATTTTATGATGCATGTAACACTGTCTATAAAGGCCAATCGTATTCCTAATGCGTATCATAAAAAGACTATGCATATTTTTATAACAGCATTCTTTGTAATAAACAATCATTTCTGTATGCATAATTTTTTTTTAATTTGAATGGAATTTTGATTAAAAGGTCATTTTTAGCGGTCATTATTAATAATGACTGGGTCATTATTGCTGTAAACGGTACTTTTTGGTGTCATTATTGAGTTTAAAAGCCTTCTAACAAGCCAGTCAAATTTGAATATTCTTAATAGAAGTATACGTGCAATAATATGCATGCAATACAGGCAAAAAAAGTATAAAGCAGTCATTAAGACAGAGATGTCATCACATCTTTACATGAACTCATATACATGTAATGTGTACATTTGATTCTTACACTTGGTGAAATGACATCTAATTCCTGTACAAACTGACACATAACGAGAAACCTCCGATGTTTTGGAGGTCCGTTTTGCTCTGCTCCCGATTTGTATTGTCTAAATGGACTTTGAGCTTGAATACTGTCCGTTATCTCCATATTTTATTTGACACATATTAATTTTTCTTTATTTGCAATGTTTTACATTAATATTTAATTTAGCTATTCAAAGATCAGAATCCGAAGAGAGTTTGCAAGCTTCGCTTCCAGAAAGTCAAAGAGTGTCACCGATAATATCCAAAAGACCTCCAAGCCAAACCCTATCTGATTCTGATGACGAAGGTGGTAAGTCTTCTTTATGACATCATCAATAATATGTTTTATTCAAATGATATTACTTTTCTTAAACAAGATTCACTACCCCCTCCCCTTATTTCACTTTATAATTTGTTTTAATAGTTCGTGTTTGTGAATACTCCTTGTTTTCTTTATACCTCATGACATCTCTATCAGACCTTTTATATAATATATACGTACATTACAACCTAACTCTTGGTGAATATGGCGTTTAATTAATTCACAGACTGACAAGAAATGTTGATTATTCTCTCTTGTTTTATACTTACATTAGGTAATGGAAAATCAGAATCTAAAGAAAGGGTGAAATCTTGGCTTCTAAGACAAAAAAGAGGATCAGCGGTAATATCTCATCGATCTCGTTCAGAATCCGATTCTGATCCTTGTGATAAAGGAGGTAAATATTTTTATTGACATTCTGAGTAATGTGATTTTAATAAATGCCATATTTTTTCTAAGCAATGCTTCGAAGGATTCTGCCAAATTTTTACACTTTTTTCGTACTTTGAAAATGAATATATATTTCTTTTTCGTATACAAAAGAATGTAGAGAGCTTCTTCATTTTTTTTATTTTATTCTGTAAAAGCATTTTAGTCTGTCTCTTAAATATGTGTCAGTGATTGGACTATTTTTGTTTTTTTTATTCAATTTTGATTCTATATTCTTCAAACGCAAATTTTGTCTTATAATATTTAGATTATATAAACGTCAGTGATAAATCCTATATATTTCTTATTTGATTCCATCAACAATGTGCACTTTTATTGTTGATATATTATATTATAATGACTATTATGCATTGTAACATAAGTCAAAAACATGATGAGTAAATGTTTCATTCAATAAGAAGACGGTTATTAAATTTCAATTTTATATGACTTCTTATAAAATATATATAGTATTTTCAAACCTTATGCTTTGTGAATATAGCATTTAATTCATTAACAAATTCACATATATACATTTTCATTGTTTTCATCTCTTACATTTATATAAGCTATACGAAAATCACAATCTGGAGAAAGTTGGAAAGCTTCGCTTCGAAGAAGTCAAAGAAAGTCAGCGATAATATCCAAAGAATCTCCGTCTGAATCTGTTTCTGATGTGGAAAACGGTAAATATCCTTGTTGACATCCTAAATAATGTGACCCCAATTTTATCTACATAATTATTTGAAAATACAGTCTTTTTTGTATGCACAAATTTGATAGCTATCTTCCATAAATTTTCTTTCTTTTCAATATTCGAAAGATCTTTGTTGACTTTATTAAATTCATGAATTACGTTATCTTTGGTGATTGGAATATACCATATATTTCTTATTTGAAACAATAATCGAAATGTTTGCCTTTAATGATAATGTATTCTAATGAATATGAGGCAATGTTATATTAATAAAGGGATCTCTCTATGGCCTCCTATATAATACGTATGGGTACATCTAAACCTAATAGCTGGTGAAAACAGAGTTAAATTCATTTACATATTGAAACATAAATTTTCAAGTAATCTTTTTTTCTTAAAAGAAGACCTGCAAGATTCTGACCAATTTTCCTACTTTATTTATAATTCTAAAATGAATATATTTTTGATGTGTGTGTTGGGGTGGGGGTTGTTTGTTTCTTTTTTGTTTTGTTTTGTCTTGTTTTTTGTTTGTTTGTTTTTTTTTTTGTTCATTTTTTTGTTTGTTTGTTTTTTGACTTCAAATATTTTGAAGGGAGCTTGCTTATTTTTTTTTTATTTCTGTTGTCTGTTTTAAAATCTATGGATAACATGTCCGTCGATTATTAGACTATTTCATGCATTTCCTTTATGATTCAATAAAAAAAGGATATTTTATCAATTATATTATAAATATTGGCACGAGTTGGCTGTAAAAATGCACGAGCTTTATTATACAGCTTAAACATTCCCCGTTGATTTATGTAAATTATTTCAATTACATAACTCAAAATTGATAAGAATATTTTAGTATTGGTTTTTAAATCAAAACTGTGAAGAATCAGCGTCGTCCCTTACAGTGATAAATATAACATCACTCTAATGACACTACAAAGCGCTATGGTTTGCTTTTGGGGTTTTTATTCAGGCATATATACAGATACCAAATTTTTAACTAATTATTTCAATTTTGTGTGAAATTGTTGTTCACAAAGTGGCGTTCGATATTGAACGCTCGCATTCGGAATGTTTTGAGGCATACGGGGTATACGTATGGCAAACTTAGCATTCAATAAAACGCCAAGCTATTGAACGCTAAAATTCTCTAGACTTTTAGTGTTTTTTTTATCTATACTATTTATTAGCTCTATAATAAATAATATTAAAATGCATGTTATAAAATGCTACATTGTGCAATATCATATTTATATTAGTTATTCAAAAATCGGAATCTGAAGAAAGTTTGAAAGCTTCGTTTCCAAGACCTCAAAGAGAGTCAGCAGGAAAATCCAAACAGTCTCTGTCTGAATCCGTATCTGAGGCTGATGAATATCTTCGTGGCTTGAGGAAATATTACTTGTCCGAGAAGATTTGATCAAGTGGTTTAAGGAGAAGCATTAAGTGGCAGTACAAAATATCATATATCTTGTGGTATATGACAACTTAAAGTAATCCCCCCCCCCCCCAAAATGTTTGATTTCACAGTATTCTTTAAAGATTTCAGTTTTGTATAATAAAACCAAAAACTTTTCAAGAAATATGCATTCACTGTTTCACTATATTTTACTGTTGAAAATGTAATAATATTCATTTCACCACTAATGACAATTAAATATTCAATTCTTGTATGTGATATTAAAAAGCAATGTTCAAATTAAAATAGAATTCGGTCAATTTCAATGTAAGATGAGTTTAGATCAAAATAATATCTATGATTGCAAACGCCGAACACCAGTTTATATGTGAAATGTCTACTAGAAAAATGAATTAGTTTAACATTGTCAATTGAACCAGAGCCTGAGGTGCAAAGTGGCCAATGGCATTTTAGTTGCTGTGTCAATTTTTATAAACTTTTGTACATATGTATAATCATTATTTTGTTCATGCTTTTATTCATTACTGATATTTTGTATTCAAGAATACTTCGTGAATGAAATTGCAATTCGTTGCATATATTTGATCACTTGATAAAATCCTACATGAAATAAAACTTTATCATTAGTGTTAAACTTGTTGTGCTTCTTTACCCAGTCAAAGAATTATTAGTCTTGTCAGTAATGGAAAACCAAAAATATATAACCAACACAAATAGTACATTCAAACATTTAAACATTTAAGTCGTGCCCCCCCCCCCTCCCCCAAAATTTTGAGGCTTTTTCTGAGTACCCCTTTTCCGTAAAATTGACGCCCTATTCAGGGAGATATTAGTGTTAAGCTATTTGTTTAAAGATGGGTTGAGACATGTCTTTGAAAACCTTTATAAGTTCACCAGCACTAGACAGTACATGAATATCGTTACTTTTTGCAACAGCAATAACAGTATTACCAGCGGAGTCATTATCAAGTTCACAGTGTTCCTTCATGTTTTAATTGTCATATTTCTAGACAATCTTTCCCTGCTCTGATATTAATGTAACTGTATGGAGAACCCAGTTACTGTCTACTACTATTACTACTATCAGTCTATTAGTTGTTGTAAGGATGCATACATTCTTTCTGCATTTGGTTTAAAATTATCTTATTTTATTACCGGATGAATCAATTTTTAATGATTTTTGTTGCACGTGATATATAAAAGCCCCATTCCAGATTTTTATTCCAAAAAACCCTTTTATTCATAGGAATTGTTTGCAGTTCGAGGAAATCCTAGGCAGAAAACACTTCATAAGATTTTGTAACTTTGCAAGTCCCAAAAATTTTGTCTGCCTTTTGTACCACTACATAGGGATTTTTCAGTCCAAAAATAACTTTTCCTTTAGCCCATTTGTTATCATATATTGAACATGTACCATCGACACTGTGGTCAATAATTGCATAATTGTTATCTTCAAGAAAAGATCCAGTACAAATCTGGTTAACATTCCATTCTGTAAAGCTCAGGATCATTGGGCAATACCATGGTTCTAACATCAAATATCAGGCAACGTTTTAACTCTAAGCCTTCAATATCTGCAAGTGATTCCACACATTTTAGTTTTTTCAATATAGGCACTTTCTTTGAAGATATTTTTCATGTATTTCTTTGTAAAATAAAATTCTTTCAGTTGTGAAGTCGTGTCTTTTGCTATGCAATAATTCATTACAACTTTATCTGTTTCCCTTGTCTTTTCAATATTTTGACAACAGAAATTAGCACAATCAATTCCATCTTTTATCGTGCTTGTAACTTGATCCATTACCAGCTGCTTATCTGGTGTTTCAATTACTTTTTTTTTCTAAAATATCATTCGCCGAAAAATATCTAGCCAATTCCTCTGGTTTATTTAATGCACTATTACTTGAAACATACTCAAGACACAAAGGACAATTAAATCCCAAAGGAGGCCCCGTATATCAGCAAATGCTATTTATGTACATGAAGACATTTGTGACCAAAAGAATGCATACACAGCAGGCATCTCGGTGTTTTAAATTTCTCGAAACGAATTGAGCACAGAGTTAAGTTTTCCGTATTAATGTCTGTAGTGACACGCTATTTTGTTGGAAAACTCCCTGTTGATATCTTTCTTCTTTCGTCGGAGGGAGGGTCATAAACTGGGTATGAAGCCTCTTGCTTTCATGAATCTTTTAAATCCTGAACGCCCGTATTCTAAGTTTAGAAAAAAACATGGCATGTATATTACTGCATTATTCATTATATCCAGTAAACAAAAGAAGAAAAAATATTACAATAAGCGTGTGAATTTCTAGATATTTACAAGTAAATGTGAATTTCGCCAATAGAAAGATCAAGTGCCTAATATGCATATTAATCTGTTAGATTCCAGCCTGCCTCCACAGTGTAAACAAGAACGCAGACTTCGTCATTACATATTTAATTTGTTTTATCTCTTTTATTTGATACCCACTAGTATATCCTTCATTTTTTAAATGATCCTGAGAAGTGCTTGGCATCAAACAGTTGCTGATTTTTTTTATCTATTTTCTCTATTTCACCATCTTCTTCTTAGAAGTACTTATTATGAACCAAAGTCATCGAAATTATATGAATTTCGCAGTTCATATAGGAAGGTAAACAATACCTGTACGGTCTTAGGGCTGTCTTCCTCTCAGGAAAATGATACTCTGTTCAGGGTGTTATTTCTTCAGTGGAAAATATCGTTTTATCAGCATTGTTCTCCAGCAGTCTTTGTCTCTCGTGTGCCTAGAATGATAAACAAGAGAAAGAATAGTAATTCCTTTTTAAATATTTCCTCCTAAGCGTTTGCAATTTGAGAGGCAGAAATAAAAGTGACGAGATTTGTATCAACCCTCTAGCTTTTGCTCATCTATATAAACTCTAAATTTGGTTAAAATCAGTGTAGATGATTTTATTTTGGGAGTTAAAAGGTAAGCAAATTAAGTAAATTAATTTATTATTTAATTCTTTAAAAAAAAAAATCAAAAATATTTGTGTTTCCAAGACGAAACACACAATAATTATAATTATTTTTTTAAGTTATTCAAAGCAGATATAAGAATCAATCCTGCAGAATACCTTTGTCGTAACACAGTCTCTCAAATGGACGTGATTGCCATACAAAAACACCGATAAATACAGTGGCGCCGCGGTAATCCGCACGCCATTAATCAGGACGCTGCACCTTTCAAACGATTGTTTGGGGGAACAGATTTTTTTTATATGTTATTCTGTCTCATTAATCTCATTAAAAATTCGCGTTCTGCATCCGGACGATCAAGTTCTACTACAAAAGTAGTATTTTATTGAAAAATGACTCGTTTATCCGGATGATAATTTCTCAAGGAAAGACGTTTTCACGTACACTTGCAGAAGCGATAATTGTTTTAAAAACTTTGGCCGTGAAGTCAGTTTGAAGGCTGTTACCGGTTACCTCCAAACAATAGCGTCTATGATTAGCGTGTGTATACCCCAAATAAACACAGGCCTATTATATGTTGAAGATTAAATGTCTATAAATGTGCATTACCTTACAAAAGATATACGTAACTGGCATTAGGTATAAAAGCCGATCGCGTTTATTCAAGATTATTTTTATATATATATATAAACTTTACAACTGGGATTGGTCAAAAGTTCTTAAAACTTGATACGCTCTCTCCCTACATATGAATTATACCAAACATATTTACATATATGGGTTTCAGCTTCAAATGAATAAAACACAGAAAAGCTAAGAAAATCTAATATTTTAAGAACATCTGCAGCATTTGTTTAGAAAGCTTAAAAATCCTTACAAAGTTCTCCATTTTGTTGATCAGACTATGAATCACCCCCAAATGCATCAATCCATATCTATTATGTACAAATTATTCAACGATACTTACTACAACAAGAAAATGTCATACTGTTGCATTTTTTTTTACAAAAATTAGAAAGTAAATAAATAAAAAAAATGGTATGGATCTTTTTAAGGACCATATGAATAATTTGGACTTGCTCGTAAGTTACAGAAAAATTTTAAATTATTACAGATACATTTAAGCTTGAGTGAATCTCTCCATATCAAAAAATAGTCTAGAGGCTTTACAATATTGCTCGACAGACAATTTTTGCTAAAGTATTAATAAAATTTGCCTCCTTTGTATTAAGACTAATTGAATTCCATCTTCCACCAGTGTCAGGAATAAAGGATTTAATGAATAATTCTGCTCTGCATTTTGGCAAGAAATAGTTGGAAGATCTTCGAGTAGAAAATCAAAATTGTGACATATTGCCTTTTATATCAGGTGCTATATTTTGTATTTAAGTAGGTACTGATTTATTTTGTACTTTATACATTAGTACTATTTAAGCTCGATTGTGTCCTTTTTTCAAATATTCCCAACCAATTTGTGTAACTTTACTAGCTGTAAATAATTTAATTTTTTAACTTTTCAAATTGCTTTTGTGCATTCAGATCAAATTTCAACCATGTATTCCAATTGAGGTTTAATAAAAGAAATATTTATCTGAGAAAAAATATCCTTTGATAAAGTGAATTCTAGCTTTTTAGATATTAATCCAAGTTTTTGTAGGCCATCTTGACAATTTTATCAATGTGATCAGACCATCCCAATTTTGAAAACAATTTTATCCCAAGATGTTTATGTTGACTGACATACCTTTATTGTCATTTCTCATTATAATGAAATATGCCACATGCCAGTCAGGTATTTAGGTTGAAACTCATTACTTAAAATGTACAGAATTCTGTTATCCAAAATTGAAAATAGCTTCGGGTTTCAGGTTTTCTTTTCATTTGTTGTGTGTAAAGAAATTAAAGGTACATTGCTTATGCAGGTATAAGCTTTAAACGTGCCTTTGAACTGTGAAAAAGTGTCACGAGATTATTTTCTGTCTAATGTACTGGGCCATGTTGTTTGTTTTATTTTTAAAAACGGCAAGCAAATAAATAAGTAAATAAAATGCGACAA